CTCTGGATAATCCTTTTCAGTACGTTTCCACTGTTATTATCCATCCCAGATGCCCTAGAGCACAATGTCGCTTCTGGACACTGTTAACAAAAAGCTTCCTTTTGGCACAGTACAGTTTTAACTGACATTTTGTGGATTTAACTAAGTATTGTGGTTATTGACTAAGGTTTGCCAAAGTAGTCCTGAGCCCATGTGGTGATATCGCTCATAGAAGAATGACGATTCTTGATGCAGTGCCACCTGATGGATGGAGATCCGGTTGTTCAGTGTAGGTTGCGCGTTGGTCCTTATTATTATCCCAATTATGCTATGCACTGTTGAAGGTGGAATATCCAAATGTCTTCCTAGCTTTCTATGAGGAACGTTGTTTTTAAATATTTCAATAATTTTCTCACATACGAACTGGTTAGGACTAGACCTTTCTTGGATGCTGCTTTAGTACCAAATCATAATTATAATCTCTGTACAAAATCTGCTGACATCACCTGTTTCAAATCACATAATTATTTAACCAATTTTCCTGGTTACTAGCCCTAAACTGATCCTGTCCCAACTTTATTTTTGCAATGTGTTGCAGGTCTGGATGACAGAAAAGGATGTATATTTACAAATGTAATTAAGTTGACCAGACAAAACAAAAAATATTGTGTTCATATTGTCGGCAGTAAAATAGAAGTTAATGTATAATTGGAAATCACCCAATTTTTTTTTTTTTGCGTTTTCAATACCGTCCCAATTTTTACTGATATGGGGTTGTACTTTTATCAAACCAGAGCCAAGTTAAACTGTTTCAACATTTAAATTATCTTCACATGATATGCCTGACAATGAAAAAAAGACTGAACAATTTTCCTGTGGCCAGAACAGTTGTATTAACAAACATATTACAGTAAATGTGGAGAATGTCAATGATGTGGTCACTTCTCTATAAATATGGTAAGGATTTCCTTCCTCTCCTCAGTAATTTTCTGATAAATGAAAACCATGCCCTGAAACTGTAACAGGAACAGCAGGTTTTCCTGCTCCTATGTACTTTGTCCTGCATAGACCAAGCATGCTGTGCATGCACCTTTGCACGTGTCTCACGTCATACATCATCCTGAAGCACATGTTTGTGTCTCTCTTAAGCTCCATTATGATGACAAAACCGCTTCAGGCTCTTCAATTTCTATATAGAAGGTAGTTTAGACATTGTTTGTATGTTTTGAAAAATGAAGGTCATGTTGGTTGTCACAAAAAGTATTTGCTTATATTTCAATTTCTTATCCTGTTTGCTTAGTTATGTGCGCATGGAATGACCATGAACACAGGTACAATGAGAGTACACTTATGATATGCTATCTCTGTGCTTGCTGTACTTTTGAAATTTATTAGAGAGCAAAGCAGAATAGCAGTCAAGTCATCTGACAGACTGAAAATAGAGCAGCATATGCTGGTGAGTTTCAAATATTTTCCAGTTTTCAAAATATATATATTTATTTTAAGTCCATATGTCATGGACTCATGAGCATGACAGCACACTCAAAATAAAACCGAAAAATTAAACTAGCAACTAAATCCTTTCCACTGATTCAAGAAGAGAATTACAGAAAAAAATACCACCTGACCAGTAAAGCAAACATAAAACACATATCAGTAGTGAGTTAATCTAAAACAAAGGATATATTAAAATACTAGATTAACATTAATAATAATAATAATAATAATAATAATAATAATAATTAATGGTATAGACACTTCTATAAATATTTTAGGAGAAAATTTTACCAGATTTAGTTTTGTGTAATTGTTAATAGTTAGGTAAAAGAAAATACCATTTTTAGTTAGATCATTATTCATATGTTTGTCATAAGTTTGGATTAAAATGTAATATTTACACTTAATAGTACTATTTATAGTTAATTTCACCTTTATTTCAGTGTACACCATGAAATAATTTTAATTAATAAGAATGAGCTGGCATTAAATAAATGCAAATTTGCATCACCTAAATATTCTATGTGCGTTCGGAAAATTGCTTACATAAATGTCTGTGGTTTGTGGGAGTGCAGGCTTTACTGACATAATGATGAACATTCATACTCCTTCTCTGAACAGTGATATAACAATGATATTTACTGTTAGAAACCAGAACAGGGGAATAAATAATTTGTGACATTATCAGATTCCCACTATCCTATTTGAGAAGCACTAGAAAACCAGGGTTAAATATGACATTTTCAATGCAAATAACACATCTGAATATGTGACCTCTGTGCAGCCTTGCCTTGGTTTATAATTAAAAAAAAAAACTTCCATCTTGTTAAACCATTATTAGTTTATTCTGTTCGTCTGTTTGTTTCTTAATTTGTTCTTGTTTATAACTAAAGCTGCGGTCACACTAGACTTTTCTCCCCATAGATTTTCATTCATATGAACGCGAATGCATCAGATTGGAAACGCAAGCTCGTGCAACAAATTTAGCAGCACACTGCATTAGAAAGTTCAAGCTTAAATCGCATCGCATGATTGTGTGAGCCCAATCGAAGATCCAAACATAACCTCTCTAGACAGAATTTTAAACATGGAGCAATTGCCCGCTTTTTTCTTATGTTCATTTTGTTTAATCCCGCACCTTTTTACAGCGCCATACAACAGAATTGCGCAAACACAAACTGTAGTTTGACCGCAACATGTCTGCTGTCCTGTACAAGTTCATCGTCATTCCTTCAGGTGATATAGTTGCTTTGTCTTGTTCTCCCTTGCCTGCCCAGCCTGGTCAAGTTTTGTTTGTTATTGTTTTTCCCCTTTGGTTAATTTTTGTTGCTTTTTATTATTATTTTTTATTATAAATAAACACCCATCTTTTTTTTTACTTCATTTGAGTACTTGTCCCTCTTACACTTAAACCTTGACAGATGTAGGAACAGATAGACGTCCTATCAGCCTGCGTGCATAGTAAAAATAAATAAATAAATAAAAACATTATGAAAAAAACACTGGCAGGAAAAGAATAGTCATTAGTGGCAGCCCTAGAACGGAGGAATGAAACCAAAATGAAGCAGGGGAATGAATGAACAAGTAGATTGATTGGCATCTATTCTTTACACATAAAGGTGCTTGTGAGCTTAAAGTTAACATAAATGGTAACAGGGTGAGTCCTTTCTTGGCCATACCATACAAAGGTTTGGAGAAAGACTATTATTCATTTTTAATTATGCTTTCATTCAGCTATCGCAACTTCAGCTGATCAAGAGAGACATTAAACATACTTCTAACATTAAAAGATATGATTAATTTCAAATACTGTTCTTTAGAAATTTCTATTAAAGTCCTGACATATTACAATATTAGTTTCCAAAAATGTAAAATAAGGTTGATTGTGCACAAAAACACCATATTAGAATGATTTCAGTAGGATCAAGTAACATTAAAGTCTGAATTGTTTTGGAAAATTTAACCTCATCACCATTAATCATTATTGGCCAATGGATTTTTTTTTTTTACTTGAAAGGGAAAAATTTCAGCCATTTAATGCAGAATACTGTTCCCTATTTTTACCTTATTATGTAATATGTCTATTTGGATTATCAGAAAACTATCACCGTACCCTATGTTCTAGTTCAGTGGTTCTCAAACTGTGGTACGTGTACCACTAGTGGTACGCGGGCTTCCTTCTAGTGGTACACGGAGGAAAGAAATATGTTATGTACATCCTACATATATTTCAAAATTTATTAAAAATGATGTATATATTATGCCATATATGACATATAGTCTATATTTCTGAGGTAATCTGCCACGTTTTTTTAAATGTGCAGAGTTGTAGCTGCTTTACTGGGCCTACTACGTTACTATATTTCAATACTGCTCATTTTGGTGGTACTTGGAGAGACAATTTTTTCTGAGGTGGTACTTGATGAAAAAAGTTTGAGAACCACTGTTCTAGTTCATTAGAATATCATAATATGTGGTATCTTGTGTCAACTGCAAGCTTGCTGACACACTGTTTAAGGTGAGAGGATTTGTGGAGTCTAAGAGCTGCAATCACAGAGCCCATTGCTGTGTTTGAGACCATCAGGCAAGAAGGAGAACCAGGCTTTTTTCTCATTCTTTCCCTTGATATTCTGTTAACAGAAAGCAGATGGTTTAAACACACACTTTTATGGGGAGAGGGCCTTTTTATAGCATTTGAGTTGCAGCATTACATAACACATAATCCCTCATATATAGTAATATTATTTCAGTAATACAATTGCAAGTCTAAGCATGAAATATTAACACAGTTAACACAAACAGGATGTGGGTTATACTAATTCAAAGATTATTTAAATATTAAATTACCTAACTAAAAAATCTGATGAGAAGAATCCAATGTAATGAACATTAAAAAGAGCCATATTTAAGATATCTTTTAATTATATCAACTAAATTATATTTTATGGGGTCATGTTAAAACATGCATGCAAATGAACTTTAAGAACATGTCAAATCTAATTCGTCTGAATTACGCTAGTTCATAAATACTAGAAAAGTGTTGATTCATGCAGAAACAAGCTAATTTTTGTTCTTGCTTGAAACTTTGTTTTAAAGTTTTGTTTATATTAGTTTAATTATGCTCCACCTAATTCTCAGGCTTTTTAATATAATGCTGCAAAGGTTCGTTGTACTTCAAAGTGCACATACAACAGTATATGCAGGAGTTGGACAAAAAAACTAAAACACTGGTCAATTTAGTGTTGGAAGTTTCAGGGCTAAACTTTTAGATGTTCATATGGCATAATAGAAGTGAAATATGGCTGAAGCCGGCCTACATATAATTCTATAAAAAAGGACTGTAGTTAATGATTGAACAGGATTCCATGCAGTACATTAGTATCCCATTCTAAAAATATATATCTACAGTATTCCAAAAATTGAGCTAACAAAGATTTATAATATTGAGCCAGTGTGTGTGTGATGGAAAGAATAATAATAAACAAAAACACGACTTTACAGCAACTACAAATGCATCAGATTTCAGTGGGAAGGCCTTTTATGGACACATAAATAGAGGAGCTCTCAGTACTTATTTTCAGATCTAACATTTACCAGATGTTTGCACATCTTGTTCTTTTACAGTATCTTACATTTCACATGCAAGAATGTACAAATCCAGAACAGGCTGTACAGCCTTGAAATCAGAGCACTAGTGGTGAGAAACTGCTGATATCACATCAATGAGCACATTAAAAACCTCACAATCAAACAAAGCCTTGCATGACGTTATTTGACATCCTAGTATTAGGAGTGTTAGGGACATGTGGAGCTGCGCATCAGCAAAGTTGTTCTACAATGTTCAGCGTTTCAGCTTTCAACAGTTATATGTACATTACACTGAACTGCAACGATAAAAACCAAACTGAAGCAGTTTCAACTTACTAGAACTTCATCTATGTTAAGTTGCTTTGCCACAATTAACATTGTAAAAAGCACTATAGAAATATAAAGATAAAACATTTTTTGTGTGTTATGAAGACAAGTACACAGTCTTGATGCTTTCAGAGAAATCTGATATTTGTGCATTTATTTTTACCAAACAGTTAAGAGTCTGTTCATTAGCACCACGAGATTAAGCAATACATACAAACTACTAACTGTTTTTTTATTCTGATTTATAGTTAAACTAAAGAAATAATTGTTGAAAAAAGCAAAAAGCTTTAGTAAATGGAAAAAAAAACTTCTACGTTGATTAAAAACTTATCTATCAGCCAACTAATATTTTAAATGTAAATGAAGGCAAGCACAAGGAATTGTACAGGTGCATTTAAGACATTTCTCAGGCCTGCATTGCTTAAACTCTACAACATCAACTTCATTCACACCTCTGGTCACGTGGTTTGGAAGAAAAGGTGAGGTATCCCGTGTGTCCTGCCATTTCTCTGGGTGGTGTGGCAGTCCTGCAGATCACAGAGGTGTTGACATCCTCTTGACTGATGTCTGAAGTCGTCTGAGTGCTGTCGGCATAATACTCCTCTGGTCCGAAGTCTGGCAAGGGCAGAGTGACAGTGCGAACATCATGAACCCGTAGCAGAACCTCCAGAGTGCAGATCTCCTCAAAACCATGGTCCAATAAAGCTTCGCAAGTTCTCTGGACCTGCTCTATACATGGTGAGAATGAGCAGAGACGACCTCCTGGAGATTAAGTTAAGAGTACAAGACAGTAAGCAAATGAACACATTCAAAGATTGTTTTTACATTAACATTATAAAATGTCTTTGTTTCATCTCTCTTTTTTTGGACTGCAATTCCACCGACTAGACCAGTGTTGCATATTTTTGGACAAATTAATTACTGCAAATACTAGTATGTGTGTATTGTATAATGAAATATAAATCACATGCACTAATTGTGTTAGCATAAAAAAATAAAACTTTCTGCACTCATTTTAGGGGTAAATGTAGGGCTGCACAATTTATCAAGATTATAAAAATATCACAAATGTACATCTCAATGATTTGGAATAAATAAGAGATTTAATCCAAAAGTATATTTGTGTCTTTAGCACAACCTTTCAAAGACTTTTCAGCAAATCAGGAAATGTAGTTACGACAACACATATCTCTGAAACTAAGCAGAGGGAACTTACCAGTCTGTGGTAAAAAAACTAAAAAAAAACTAACAATTTCAATATGAATGCTAAAATACTGTGTGTATGGCATGTTAGTAAACCCATGTGCTTCAATATAAAAATGTTCTTTATAGATTCAAAGTGGACAGAATTCAATGTTTTCATGTACAATATGATTTGCAGTACAATATAATTTCTATTTAGGCACACATAATTTTCAGTGCATACATACAAATCACGATCCTACATCCATTCCAATATACCCTATATCAGGGGTGGCCAACCCTGTTCCTGGAGAGCCACCTTTCTGCAGATTTCAGTTGCTACCCATATCAAACACACCTGAACCAATTAATTAGGACCTGAACACCACGTGGTAATTACAGGCAGGTCTGTTTGATATGGGCTGCAACTGAAATCTGCAGGAAGGTGGCTCTCCAGGAACAGGGTTGGCCACCCCTGCCCTATATCTATAATGGACTATATGCATAAACAGAAAACAGGAATAATGGGAGTATTTGTTTTATTTGCCAAAATAAAAAACACCACCAAGTAAAGCATTTTCAAAATATTTATAAGCTCCTGAGTTTAACTTAAAAAATATTTGGTATAAAATGTATTTATAATCCCATTACAAATACATGCTTGAGCCAAAATTAATGCAGTTAACATTAACATGAGGAAAAACAAACAAACAAACAAATGGCTAAAAAAGTCTATAAGGTTGCATGAAAACTAAACTTTTAAGTGTTTTGTTTTCTTTCCTATTCTCAATGTTTTCAGGTTGAGAAAAATGGTAGTGATTTTTACTTCAATTTTATGCAACATGAATTAAATATCTGTTTGCTTTCAGAAATTCTAATGATTCTTTATTTTTCCTGAAACAATGAAATATATGTTGATTTTATCACTTTCTAAAATTTCGTAACATATCCTCATTAGTTAGCGTGTTATTGCAATTTTGTGCAAAGTGTGCCACTATTTGTAGTTTTCACATGATGCCACAGCTTAAGAAATGCTCATTGGAATGGCAAAACCAAATTTTGAATGAAACCATTCATGACTGCCAATCATTTTTTAAACAGATTTATATTAATGTAGCATTATGTAATGATGTGGTAAAAGATGTCACAACATGCATTAACATGCATGCTTCTAACAGATAAACCTGAAGATGACAATGTCATACAAGCTTGTGTTTCCATTTAAGAGAGTATTTCACAGATCTGTACAACAGTTTTATGGAAATTTTGCCCTGTGCCAGTCACAGCAGTGAAAAAAGGTTATCAAACAGATGACTGTGTTCAAAAAAAGTCTTCACCTCAAAAAGTGTCTGTGGTGTTTTGTTTATACCATAGCACTTGTACATTTCAGGAATTAATGTATTTTGTGTTGGCCACTCTTTGTATAACCCTGATTATGCTAGAGAATTATTCAAATACTAGCTCTAAAATGATGTTGGTGAATTAGTAACTGTCTACAGAACAAACCATCGTTATACAATAACTTGTCTTATTCCCATAACCTGCCAAGTTAACCTAATTAACCTAGTTAAGCCTTTAAATGGCACTTTAAGCTGCATAGAAATGTCTTGAAAAGCATCTAGTAAATTATTATTCACTGTCATCATGGCAAAGATAAAAGAAATCATAAATCAGTTATTAGTAATGAGTTTAGAAATGTATTGAACAAGTCTTCTTTCCGTCAAACAGAAATTGGGGGAAAAAAATAAAAAGGAGGCGAATAATTCAGGGGGGCAATTAATTCAGACTTCAACTGTATGTATATATATATATATATATATATATATATATATATATATATATATATCGCGCATCTATAAATTCATCTTTATATTCCATCTATAAAGTTAAAAGTGAAAGTTTGATTTATGATTATTATTATGTCGAATTACTTTGGTCTCATATCAAGAATGAGGCACATATGTAAACTTTTCTAATTCCTACAGCGTTCACCTTATTTGAATGTAAATGCCCTCAAATTAAAGTTGACAATCTGCAGTTAAAGCATTTCATTTCAAATCCATTGTGTTGGTGTATAGAGCCAAAAATGTTAGAATTGTGTTGATATCCTAATATTAATGGATCTGACTGTATATGTATTTTAAAAAATACATATACAGTCAGGTCTATAAATATTGGGAATTGACAATTCTAACATTTTTGGCCCTATACATCAATACAATATATAGTATCCTCATGTCAGTTAAGGACACATCTACAGTATGCTGCTTTAAAAAAAAAATCTGAAAAAGCATCGCCCATGACTGGAAGTGAAGCAGAATTTGGATTCAGACATGGAAAGGAAAAGTCATGACATGTGGCCAAGTATGATGACTTGGAAATTCTGCTCTGGATTTAACCCACCCAAGTGCACACACACACACTGGAAACAATTAGCAGCTCACCAAGCTGTAAAGGTTGAGAGAGCACTCACATGTTCTTGCTTGCATTTTCATCCCTTCCTGCTAAGGTCTATTATTAAGTGGATAAATGGAGAAAGGGTGGTTAAGAGGTTTTAACAGTGATTATCTTCTACTTCTCTTTCATCTTTCTCTACTAACACAAATAGATGGAATTTGGACTGAAGGTGGCATTACTAACATGCACAAGAATAGCCACATCAGATCTGAGTAAGAAGAGAGACAGGGAAATGTGAGGACAGCAGTATATTAAGGAGAAGGCTTTGTGGGTACAGTTTACTCTTTAGGTTTTTAGGTTCAACCTGATTACATTAACTTAGTCCATCATCTAACCCAACCAATCCAATCCTTCACTCTTTACATTCAATACAGAACTACAGAGAACAGGAACCATGTTAGGAGGGTAGTGGTGTTGCTCAATTTGTCTTTGCTCCAATCAAAGTAGAAATAAACATTTATTCAGTAATTCAATATAGTAATAATGAACATACAAAATATTGATGCCATAAGCAGTTTAAAATAAAGTAAATAATAATTTCTTATTTAAACTTTTAGCACACTTTTAACTAAATTGTATATGCAGTGGTCATATATATTAACATTTAAATTCAGTCATTTAGCAGATGCTTTTGTCCAAAGTGATTTACAAATGAAGAGGCATTCAGTGATTCAACATGGAGGCAATACAAACTAGAAGAGCTACTATACTATACAATAATTTTTTTATTTGTGTCTTTTAAGTGCTCAAGTGTTTGAGGAAGAGATGGGTTTTCAGTTGTCTTTTGAATAATTTTAGTGAATCAGTAGTTCATGTCGGAAAGGAAAGATCATTTAACCAGTAAAAAAACTGAATGAATATGTTTTAGAAATTGACTTGGAGCTTCTCTTCATGATATTGTTAGGCCATTTTACGAACTGACTAGATTTTACTGACTCACTTACTGAATGAAGGCTCCTGGATGGGATTCAAATTTTCAGGAGAGTAAGAGCAGTGTTAATTTTGACAGAAAATTTAGATTTAGTTTTAGTCTTTTGACAAATTTCTTTTTAGTTTTAGTCTTATATTTTAGTCTTCTGAATCATTTTAGTTTTATTCTAGTTTTAGTCAACAAATTTTTAGTCGACTAAATCAACTCTAGATTTAATTGACTAAAATATATTTGGTTTAAGTGTAATTTAATTAAATATTATACATTTGTTTATACAAAACTTTTTAAATTAATTTTAAATAATTATTCATTCATTTTATTTTTGACTTAGTTCCTTTATTAATCAGGGGTCACCACAGCGGAATGAACCGCCAACTTATCCAGCATGTTTTATGCAGCGAATGCCCTTCCAGTCGCAACCCAACACTGGCAAACACCTATTCACTCTTGCATTCACACTCATACACTATGGCAAATTTAGCTTATTCAATTTAACCATACTACATGTCTTTGGACTGTGGGGGAAACTGGAGCACCCGGAGGAAACCCACATGAACACAGTGAAAACATGCTAACTCCACACAGAAATACCAACTGACCCAGCCGGGGCTCGAACCAGTGACTTTCTTGCTGCAAGGCGATCGTGCTTTTCACTACCCCAACGTGACACCCTTAAAAGTTAAATAAAACAGTCTAATTAAACTATGGTTTTCCATTGAAGACCAAAAGTTAGATATGCACTGTTTATTTATATCATAAGTAATATGTAAAATTATGTGTAAGCAATCAATCTACATGTAAGAACAGAAGCCATCAGAAAATGTAGGATTGAAAAATGAATGATTATTTAGCAAAACTTTTGTTTTAAAGTGGTAAAAAACTAGTCTTTTTGACCAATCTGTTGAACAGTTTCAAGCCATCAAATCTTTGAAAGGACTTCAAATATTTTATGTCCACTTTGCAATGTCAGTCTATAGCAAGCTTTACTGATGTATTTGGTGTTACAGTACATGGTGCTTAGATATAGCACTGATTAAATAGGAGTAATGACATATAGCTGGCAAATTATTATGTGTTAACTTGTAAAACCTGCACTTAGTTCCACAGCTGTGTTATATAGAGGAATTCTAAAGCACAGATGTTCATAAAAATTAAAAGTTTGTTTCACTTTAAAGAAGTTTTGTTATCTTGC